TTTTATGTAAAATCTAAAAAATACACACATCCTATTGCTGAGTATATATGCAGTCATTCATTTTGGTCCATGTCCCATCCACTAACACGGAGGAGGGCCGGATTTATGACCTATACTGCAACCGGGAGGCAAGTGAGACACTTTGGCATCACTTTTGAGAGCTGTCATGTCGTCCATCTTCATATCTTTATATACAGTCTCTGGTGTCGCACCATTAAACTCGGTGACATGTTCGTTCATTTTGATGAACAGGGGCAGTTTGGTTTGTTTTACGTCAACCTCAGATTCTGCTGTAAATATTAACTGTGATACTCCCCAACATGCAGAAGTGACTCCTTTCCAACGCCTAAAATTCCCATTTAGGGAAATTGTTGTGACAAAAAACTGAGAGAATATATTTATGCTCTCAAACATATTTGTGACCTATTATATATTTTTTTAAAGATTGTTTTAATGTCTGTCCCTTTTAAGGATGCACACTACACATGAAGGATCACTATGGTCCATGCATGAGCTCTCCACTCATTCTGCACCTCTGCATTGTGTGGAGAAGCTGCATCAGTATCTCATACACGTGATCTCCCTGTGCTTTATGTGCACGACAGCTGCCGAGTGGACGCTGGTACCTGAGCATGTTCTGCAGCTGGCGTGGCAGGGCTCGCAGGTCCTGTGCACCGCGTCATGGTAGAATCCCCGAGGGCACGATGGGAGGCAGCGGCCTTCCCTCCGCATGTAGATGAGCCCCGGCACGCAGCTCAGGCAGCTGTCCTCCCTGCCCCCAATGCACTCACCACAACTCGGGTCACACTTCTCACACGTCCTCGAGTCTGCGTTTCCATAGTGACTACCGGGCATAGATGGAGAGAAAGTTATGATAGATGAGATTCAATTAAATAGGATGAGGATAGAGCTTTGTTTGTCCTCAAAGGAAATTCTTCTCCATTGCCACTCAGTCACACGCACACCCCACCTACTCAGACATGACATAGGCCAAGACTCCATGACAGAGACGATGCAGCCACAACAAAACACTTCAAGCTACTACTGAGCAAAGTGAGACAGATTCCTGTTTCCTCAGGTCTGAGAGTATGAGGAAGGCACATCACAGGAATAAATAGCCTTTGTGTCCCTTTTATGTTTTCTCGTGAGTATTTAACTGCACATCAATTTAACGGCACGTTAATTTAACTATCTCAATCACCGGATCCCAAATAAAATCAAGTCTAATTAGCATTTTACAGGCCACATGAAGGGCTATTTAAATCTCAGGCTAAATTAGCTTGTGTCGCCAAACTGCACCCCTGTCCAGATAACTGCAGAAAAGCACCGGTTTAGTGTCCACAGTGACATTATATGACTACGCTGATCTTTAATTAATGGCAAAACTGTGTGGCTGCACTCGATGAGATGGCCGAGCGGCGACAGCAGGACGGCGAGCAGGTTAAACTACCCGTGCTGGCAGGTCTCCACGCACTCTTTGCCCTCTCGAAACAGTTGGGGTTTGCACGTGAGACACTCGTGGCTTTGTTTCCCCATGCAGGTTTCACAGGAAGTGTGGCACAGCTCACATCTCTGCCCCGACTCGTCCTGGTAGTGGCCTGACGGGCATTCGTCCACACAGGTGCCATCTGCGCCAACAAACACGAATGGTCAGTGCAAGTCACACATGCCTGAAGTGCTTTGCTTTTTACGAATCGGGCCGAGCTCGACTCACTGAGCAGGAGGTGTCTCGGGTTGCAGCTCAAACACTGGCTTTTTCTGGGACCTGAACACCTGTGACAGTATTTGTGACACGGGTGGCATTCGCTGTCATGGTCGGAGTACTGGTGGGGCAGGCACTTATTGGTGGATGGCACACAGTGGCCATGGCTCTCCAGCGTCTGGCCCTCTCTGCAGCTGGTGCAGGAGCCGGTGTGGGGCCCAAAGCAAGTGAGACAGGACACATCACAGTCTGGAAATACAAGTGAAACAAGGAAATGAATCACAGGATGTATTATATGATTATTATTCTCTTTGATCCGATATATAACACAGTAATGTTTCTCTGATAACAAACCAGATTAGGATGGATTTGAACAAAACAA